GCTGGAGACATGAATTCACTTCAGAAACTTGGATCACAACAAAAAGTCACAGAAAGATTTCAACTGGACGAAACCAAATAGGCCAATGCATGTTCAGTCAACTTATTTGTGTTTATTGATTCTTGGCAAAGTAGCTTAGTGGTGCATGAGCGCCACCAGGTGGACTGATCTTACTAATTAGTGAGGAGTGGAGGTGGGTTATAAAACCCTCCATCATGCTGCCAGCCAGCTGCCCTTACTGACCACGTGTGAGACAGCACAGAGATGAGACTGTTCCTACTAGATGCTGCAATAGCATCAGAAGTTTTTTTTCTCGCTCTGTAAGAGTTTGATTGACAGATGGTTCACTTTCCCCGTTTTTTTTTTTTTTGTTTTTTTTTTGAAAGTTCAGTTTCCAATGACGGTTTCTCAGATGTTTCTTTGGAACAAACCATGTGGCGGGTCAGGATGGATTGTAATCGGGCTTCAGTCTCATTATGGTTTACTTAGGAGCCGCTGCCAAGTGCAACACTTAGTGGTAGAATTTGGTACACCGGTCCAGTGTTCGGCTTAATAACTGCTTTGAAAATGTTTACACAGGTCCAACCCCACTCACAACTAAAGTAAAGACCATGAGGCTGAGAGTAAACTCAGATAAGTGGTGCAGAACCACATAGAACCAGCCATTAAAGCATCCCTCACTTGTAATTGAAAGAGTCGGTACATATCTGTGACCAGTGATAACTGCAGAGCAACAGAGCACAGTGTACCTGTGCGGTTGAGCGTTGCCATGGAGAACATGGCTTCCTGATAGGCCTCTTTGACTTCCTCTTTTGTGACGACTAGCTTGATCTTGTTCCACTTTTCAGTCTGTAAAAACAGAGACAGGAGTGTGAGGAGTGAGAGCACAGAAACTGGTCAATATAATGACAACACGACTAAAGGTAGAAACGATATAACACACGATACTGTTCATGTGAGCGGAGCCATGGCTGACCTGATCGAGCCACTGGTGAGCATTCACAGCCACCTGCGTCCCCAGAGGTTTGGTTAGAACCAGGACGTCCCCTGGAACAGCACCATCCGGCCTGAGAAACAAGATGGAGCATATTACATATCAACTAAAAGCCCTGATTAATAAAGAGGTGGAGTCCTTCAATGGGCCAGTTAATGCCTTCCTTGATCAGTATGCATGTTGTTTCTAAATACACTTGGCTATGCCCTGAGAGTAAAGTGGTACATTTACAACAACAAAAAAGCTAAAATAGTATGTTGGCCTTATTCAGTAATGTCTGCTTCTGATCATTTGTTGATTCTAGGCAAAATTCACGAGAATTTCCTTTTTGCCAAGTATAATTTGATTAGGTCATCCACTGCAGGAATAATACACGGCAAGCAGGGCCGTCTGTGGTGGTTAACGTCCTTCCATAGTTTGACAAGCTATTGCACTTTGCTGAACTTCTGTTGCAGACTGCGTGCACACACTTACCTACGTTGTTTACAAACTGTAAATGGGTCTAAATAAATAAACTTCACTAAATGTCCACTGTGGACAAAGGTCTATAGATCAGAGGGACATGTTGAGTTAGTGTTGAGGCTGTGGCAGCTGTCATCAACACAGAATAATACCAACAAAGCAGGCTTTCATTATTTCTATACAACCCCTTCTGGCTGAAATCAACAAGGTCCACTACATTCAGGTACGGGCTGATGAAATGCATTCTGGGAAACCTAAGACATCTCTAACTGAAGTTCAACTTACATGAGGCAAGGTGTGTGTACACGAAAAAGGGGATTTTAAATGCCTCATCACTAAATAACACGAGATATCAAAGAATGAGAGCCTTTCATTGTTACAAGTTACCAAAGATGCAGAGACACAGCGACTGTTTAACGGACTCACATGATGAACTCATTAGGCTGGCAGACGACGGATGCGACTCCTCCCACGATGATCCAGGGGTTGATCACGGTCTGGCCACCTGTCACAGAAGTCCCCCCCTCCTCTGCTGCATCACGGAACCCTTGAATCATCTGCGGCATCACCCGCTCACGGTCCTGTGCCATACATGCACACACAGACAGCCGTGAATCATGATAGAACACCCTACTTCACCTCGAAGAAATCCACATATATATATATATATGTGTAAAATCCACAAGTCAAAATTCACTTCCAAACATATAATGCACTCATTGTAACGCGTCTCCCAACTAGATTAGTAGAGGAGACGCAACATCGATGAATGAAAGCAAAGTGTCCACCCAGGAACACACATAATGCTACCTTGTCGTTCATCTTCTGGCTGACACTCAGTAGCATCAGCATGTTGTCACACTCCGTGATGCCCATGGCGTAGAGATCACTGAGGACATTAGCGCACGCTATCCTGCCCTGAGACAGACAGATAGACAGAGAATGTGACAGAGAGCAGAAAACTAGTCAAAACAGGCAAGGTGTTGATAAGATATGAAGGGGGAGGGACTTGAGATCACAGTGAACATGACCTTTAACCTCAAAACTCTAATCAGTTCATCCTTGAGTCCAGCAGTGCTAAATTAGAAAATATTCCTTCCAGGTGTTGCTGAGATATTGCGCTCACGAGAGCGGGATGTAAAGACAACCCGAGAACATCGTGCCTTCGGCCACAGTTTTCCAACATGCAGCGGCGTGAAAACATTAAAATCCATATTGCTTATGTAAAGCAAGCTCAAAGTGCAGATGACTTACGCACAAATCAGGTTCACATTGTGCAGCCGATTACTGTTGCTATACTGTACATATTGAACAGATATTACATATTGTACATATTGCTTAAGAGTGCAGTTCTTTTAGGGCAAGGGGGAAAAAGGCAATAAAAACCCACGTATGAGAGTGCATCACAAAGGAAAACACACCATCATGTAGGGATCCTCCACCAGAGGGTAGAAGAAGTCTGTGGTCTGGACCAGGGAGAGCCCGCCATGCCGCAGAGGAATCACACAGCAGTCCATCCCTACACCTGAAACAATGTTTTGCAATGAAATACAACAGCCTTGCAATAATTACGAACTCCTTAGTATTATTAGTTGGTGTATTTTATTTTGTTGAGTGTGAGAATACTGCGTTATTAGTTTGTATGTGTACTAGTGGCGGTGTTGTTTACTAAAGGTAGTATTTTTTGAATGACGGTTATATGAAATTGCGTTTCAATGCTGGAGTTTGTGTTTGTGGTCACTCAGTAGTTAGCTACATACAAAGCTGTCCTCATACTATTGCTACGCCTCTAAAAGCAGTAAACTAAACAGCACTTCCACTCAATATTGTGAAACTCTTTTACTAGTGGAAATGTTTGACCAAAAGCGTGAACTTTGCACTGAACGCATCGAAATATTTCTGCTGAATCATACCTATGGTAACTTGACAACTCGCGTAACTTGTGTCCTCTTAGCTAGTTAGCGCGGTTACTAACGTGATCTATTGCATATTTTATGCTCATTAATAACTTAACACTGTAATTAGTTTATATGTTAACACATTTAATAGCTTAGGACTTAAACAAATAGTCTTTATTCACCCATAGCTGCCCATCTGTCATATGAGCTGCCATATGACTTAACACAAGCTAACATTGTTAGCAACAGTTACGCTAGATTACTGACATTAACCACCAGGGTTTCTGACATGGGAGCTAGCTCTGCTAATTCCGACTTTGTTTCTTACCGAGTCGAGGGCCGGACAATTGTTGGCCGAACTCTGATGCTTGGTCTCCGGCCTTCCCTGTCCCGTCGGCCCGGTCCGCCTCCAGTCCCGCCAGGAGTTTGAGCAGAGCCTCCTGCGGGACCTTGCAGCCTCATCCTTTCAAGTCCGAAAACGCTGTGAGACGGAACCCGCGCTCCAGGCCGTGTTCCTCGGGTTTGAAAGGTTTGTATCCGGGGGGAAAACACCCCTCGGCTCCCACAGCCTCTGCCGAGGGAGGCGGGGAAGTTGAGCCTGACATGCCTGGCTAAAGACCACTTCAAACACACAACGCCAGTCGCGTACACCGGCAGATAAAGACGCAAGGATGAATGGCGCGTGTGTCCGGCGAGCGCTGGTTGAAACAAGAGACTAGTGTAAATTCAAACCGGACCAATGCAACTTCCTGTCAGAACCTTCGCTGTGTAAATCGATACAGTGCATATCTATACAAGATTCATGGATTAATTTATTCGTGGATAGACTGCACACTTACACCAAATGCCTTTGAATTTGGAGTTGAATTACTACATTAGGAAAAACGCAAATTAAAGTCATAGCGACAGCACAGTCGTGATGAGATACAGGCGTATACGTCTTACTTTGAAGGCGGAATTTACTATTTCCGGTCTCTTTTTGTGTCTCGCTGTTCAACTTGACGCAGCACAGTACGGTTGTAAACGTCACATCTGACCTGCCCTCGCACACAGCAAGTTATATCACTGCCATTTATATGATGTCTGTTACGAGATATGAACTTTAAAACTATGTAAGACAATTGCCGTTGAGATGAAGTGAACATAAACTAAAAGAACAATTGTGATTTTCACCGAATCGTCGTAAATCACAGGGGGGCCTGAGGGGTCCAACCCCTTGATAGTATTTCAGACCCCGTGAAAGCCTCAATTGCAAAATTTTGGTGGGGGTCTCTAAAATAAGACTATTTTTAACTTGCAGTTGTTCCTAAAATGTATCTTCGCGTACTAACGCCCAGCAGTTTTCATTATTCAAACTGCAAAAAATGTATTCACATGCGTATATGAATTGCGAGTGTGAGGGACGGTTTAATGCAGTTACGTTAATTGACACAGCCAGCCAGACACGCAATAGGTTGCTCAAAGCGAGCCTGTCCTCACGTCTTTTTGTGAACCTAAACGGACCCCGTTTGGACAAATTTGATCCTATGACGCTCGCGAGAACCTGGACTAAAGCAGGACGTTGTCTCTCCTCTTCTTGGATACCAGGGCATGGAAGGATGGACAATGGGTGCACGACAAAACACACTCAAGGATGACTGAAGAACTGATTTCTCATTATTTTATTTCGTAAATCTTCCAACAGTTTTGAAACGAGATTCTTTGCCCCAAATGATCTATAATTACTGACAATATTCACACAAAGTTTAAAAGACCCTCAATGTGCTTACCTTGGGATAGATACATAGCTAGGTGCCACAGGTAGAGAGAAGACAGAATAAGGGGCACACACAGAGCCATGTTGTGTTAAAGGTCAGGTCTAGCATCAGAGATAAAGCAGTGGTCTACACAGGCACAGAACAGAGAATGGCTACTTTTTTTCAATAAGAGTAAATCCATCTCTAATACATAATACAGGTTTTGAGGCAATGTAGACAGCAACATGTATGACCAGAACATATTTGAATATTCTATATTATTTAAAGCTCACTAGGTTATTCACATTGTCATGTGTTTTCTCCTTTGGAGGGAAAAGTACCCCTCTGAATTGTCACTTGTTTCACCTTATGCCCAATGATTACTAATGTGTATACAACGGATGATGCAGTCAAACACACGTATTGCACAGTATGTAGTTACCTCCTCGGTTGAGGAGGGACGATATATCAGGGATCATAAACATATACTGATGAACAGGTGCATCAGTGTGCCATCTAAGAGGCTAGGCATGGGGGAGGGGGGGTGATTAAGAGAAATAAGAATGACGAGAAAAGGACGGGTTGCAGAAATGGAAAAGCTACAGCAGATTTGGAATCCACGGAGCACCTCTGGGAACATACCATGCTGATTATCTGGCTGTCATTCTTTTATTTCTTTCATCTGATTGATGCTGGTCATTTTTAAAATGGTAAGATCCACAGTATGTATTCAGGTTTGTTTCTTTACATGGCAGAGGGAGTAAGGTGCAACTACCAACATGTTTTTCCAGGATGTGCAGAGAGTAGACACAAGGACCGTCAATATACTGTATGTATATATATACTGTATATATCTGTGTGTGTTGGCGTCATGGCGTGCTGAACTATGCTCATGTTACTGTATACAGTCCATGACATGTATCTGCAGCGTGTCCATATCTGGAGCCTGGTAGTGGCACTTAGGACAACATAAATCTGGCAGCTCCTCAGCTCCGGCTGCCCCTTGATCACCGACTGGTATCAACCCCTGATTTCGGAACGAGGGGGCAGGGGGCACCGTGTTGAAAGCTGCACCGGGGAAAGAAATTATGTTAAAACAACTTCTTACCAGGAATAAACACCTTGATAAACCCATTAAAAAGTTCTATTTCCCTTTTTTTGTTTTCAGTCGACCAGAAATAGCCATTTTCTTGAATAGGCAGGAGTTTCATTGGTAAGCTGCACAACAGCTAGTAGACAATACTCAGTGGTGAGAAGTAACCGTACATGTACTTAAATACTGTGCTTTAGTACAGTGGTTCTAACCTGGGGCCACACAGGCTTCTCTGACATTTCAATGCATGCATGAAAGACTTTACAACCAATACATTCAAAATAACATGCGCATAGATAACAGTAATGTACCTTGTGGAGGGGGAATGTGTGGGGCCCGCGTTGGGAAGTCTTCCACGTGCCTCAGCTTCATTTGCTCCATACGTGCACTGAAACAGAGGTGGACCAATACAACCGTCATGTGTAATCACAATTTAAAGAATGTCCAGAAATATCAATATTTCTTCATACACAGAGCAAAGTTGTAGCTTTAGCTCCGACTTCAGATATGAAGGGTCATTCTGGATGATGTGCCAACAGCCCTGCCTTCAAACACAGCTGCAGTAAAGCTAAAGTCACCTCGAAATGCTGATTAGAAGGCAGGGGAGGAATTCAGCACACAATGACTATGTAACCCTGGATCAGAAATGACAGCAAGAAAAACTGTATGTCTGGTGCATAAACATCCACACGCCCACATTCAGGACACAAATAATTATCATAATGCAAAAGGAGCTGCATTGTGCTCTCCCCCCCTCTCGCAGATAACTTTGTTTTTGTTGTTTTTACCGTGATGTGGCTTCCTGTTTGTGCCTGTCAATCTCAGACAGGGCCTGAGTCAGCTGATCCTGCAGCTCCTCCTTCTTCTGGTTCAGCTTCTCTCTGGCTTCTCGCTCTGCTAGGAAGTCTGCTTTGTAGATCTCAGCCTGCAGGAACACAAAGACAGTGAGAGAGGGAGGGAGACGCCGCTATTTAGTTTCAGTTCAATGTACTTGTGCTATATAAGCATGTTAAAATGTGGGCGCGGCTGATTCAGGCTGATTAGCACCTGACAAGTAACTCATAGGACGGGCTAAATGAACTGCCATGATGCTCAGGATGATTTCCAGTCAAGTGTTTACTTAGCTTAAAGGCTAACGTTGGTATTTTTAAACTGGGCCCTATTTTCACCATGTTTTTGTGTCTAAACAAATCTTTAAAATTACTTTTTTCTCAGACTGAGCCAGAAATCTCCACTTCAGTAGCTTACATTCACAAACTTTACAGTTCCCTTCCTCTCTATATTCTGAAGTTGTTTACAGAGGGGTTTGTTCATATATCATCCATAGCCTGATTTATACACGATTCACACTAAAAACACGGAGAAAAAGGATGAAGAAAGAAAATCCAAAATTCCCTCTGCAAAAACCTATGACTAATATGTCAACAAAATGAAACAAGAATTTTGAACCTGGCTTTATCCAATGTTCACATTTATGTTCTGGACATTTATGCATATGAGCACAGATTTAATAAGACAATGCCTCATTTACATATTCACACCTACATATTCAGAAAACTAATAATACCAAAAAAAGTATGTCTTAGTGTCAGTAGTCACATGTTTAAGTGCTATGGTGAAATCTATTAGTTTAATGTTTGCCCTATTCACACAACATAGTATTATACTGCATTTACTGTTACCACCAAAAAACACTGTGTGACAACCCTCTAGCAGAGAGGTGGTTGTTTACAGCTGAATATAGTCGTATAAACCAACTAAAGACCCAAATGACTATAGATGGAAGAAGTCAGTAGCAGTGCCCTGTGTGACTGCACACAGTTACAAACAGTGATGCGTCCATTGGTATTTACTAAAGTGAACACTGAGGCGATACTTTGCTTGATAAAAATGAACAAACTACACAGTCTCCATGAAGAAAGAGATTTGTGTGCAGTTGTGCTCCACAGCTGTGTGACTGTACCTGTGCAGTGAGGACCGGAACAGTCTCCAGGGAGCCTTTCTGTTGCTCCACCTCCTCCTTCAGTTTATCAATCAGGTCCTGCTTCAGGGCCAGCGCTTGCTCCGCCTCCTCTAGTCGGCTGCACAGATCTCCTCCCTGGAAGACAAACACAGACAGATGTTACCACATGAATCCAGAATCTAAATAGCAAAAGTAATTTGAGTAAATAGATGTTTGGATGTGTTTTTACCTCACTCTTCAGTTTAGAATCATAGTCTCTAAAGAGACATGTGTAGGCATGTTGCAACTGGGTCAGTTTTTTCCTGAGAAAAAAAAAAAGGATGCAACATTTTTCCATACAGTATTGTTATCAAATATCCGATGTGCTGCTAACAGTATTGAAGAATTTTGAACTAAATCAGGAAGTATTTATTACCACAGTGAAGCATTCAACATCACATTTTTAGAAGGAAAATTGAGCATGACAACTGTGTTGCATTGTTACAGACACCTTGAAGGCCTGAAAATAATAATGATGTGAATGATTTGTGTGTTGGACCCACTTCTCCTCTGTGACGACGTGTCTCTCGGTCTTCAGGGCCTGCTCCAGGCTCTGGGTCTGCAGCAGCAGCTTGTCCATGGCCACATGATGCTGCTTCCTCTGCTGCTCCAGCTCCCGCTCTGCCACCTGCAGGGCCTTCATCTTACTGCACAGCCTAACACAGATAGAGAGGAAAAAACGTCAACACACATGCACACCTACAGGTGAACACAGAGAAGCCTTATGTATTCACTTATGCCGTCATGACAGCTTACTTTTCTTCCAACACTTTGCGTTCATGCTCGCTTTTCTCCAGGCAGCTCCGTCTCTCGTTCAGCTCTCCTAAGAGGGAAGTTGCTTGAGCTTTTAGAGCCTCACAGTCCTTGGCCAGCTGTAAAAATATGGAAAGCTTTAAGTTATCGGGGTAGCAGTTGATATTTTAAGGCTGCTTGCTACAGCTCCATCATCTAGTAGTTGACGATTTAAACATCTTGGATTGAGGAGTAAAAACCAAAGCAGTTTACAGTTCATACCTGGGCACAGTCCTTGTCCTTCTGTTTGAGCAGAGCTTCAGTTCTGTCCCGCTGAGCTGAGCTCTTCTGCAGGTAATCAAGCTTCTCCTCCAAGTCACGATACCTACGGACACAACAGATCATGACTAAACTGGGGTAAATACCAATATATATACACAAATATGTATCACTATGATAAGGTAGGGCAAACACATGATCATTTTTGTATCGGAATTGTAATTTTAACCCTTGTGCCTCACTTTAAATAAATTGCTCTGATGTGACGAAAATGTCTGCTTTAAAAAACAGCCGCAAAATATGTCATGTATTAGCATTAACGCGGATTTGGATGCATTTGTATTTCTGCTGTAGTGTCACATATATTTAAAAAATAAATAAATAAAATAAAAAAAATAAATAAAAAAAATCACTTAATTTTTTTAACCAGCATCAGTCCTGATCATAACTACCAAATATTAATTGATTTTCAGAATTTTCACCATTTAAAAGCCAGTTTCTTGCCACTGTGGTTTTTCATGAAAATGAAAACACAAAACTTGAATTATTTTCTGTATACCATTTCTTTTTTCACAGTCAGGGATATGTCACTGATTAGCAACAAAGACTCAATCAAAGACTGCAGTGCTCCATATTACAGCAGCAAAGCCCCTCGTGGAAACCAGGAAAATAGCATCCGTTTGCCCCAGAGGACAAACATGAGAACATGATTCAGTCCCGTGGAAAATAGTTAAAAATACCATTTTGAAGCCAGGGCTGTAGACTGAAAGCCTGATGTAATATAATGCATGATTTTATTCTGTTATGGTCATGGGACCAACCATTGTGGTTTTAATGGGTTTCCATGGGAACATTTCTGTCCCCAAGAGTCTGAGTCAGTGTATCTTGCTACAGTTTATTATACTTTTTGTAGGAGCTGAGGTTGAACTGAACTTACAGAATCTGAAGAAAAAAACCTCACACCCTTCCCAACATATATGCATACACACAACTAAAATACTTCTATAAGAATCAAGCCAAACATGTCCCTAGTGAGGGTTAATACAATGTAGACCACAAATACAGGCCTCATTATATTTAAAGAAAATAATTGTATAAATACTGCACTCAAATCATCCCACTCAGCAATATTTGTGAAACTATTTTCTCTCCAATTGGGTTTGCCAGTATGATGTTAAAAAAGTAAGTAACAAACACTCTAATGTAAAGACCTGCAAGTTTGAAGGAAATTAAAATGCCTTGATCACTGAATGAGTAATACATTGTAATGGTATATATATATATACACACAGTTGTGTGAAAAAGTGTTTGCCCCCTTCCTGATTTCTTATTTTTTTGCATGTTTGTCACACTTAAATGTTTCAGATCATCAAACAAATTTAAATATTAGACAAAGATAACACAAGTAAACACAAAATGCAGTTTTTAAATGAAGGTTTTTATTATTAAGGGGAAAAAAAAAATCCAAACCTACATGGCCCTGTGTGAAAAAGTGATTGCCCCCTAAACCTAATAACTGGTTGGGCCACCCTTAGCAGCAACAACTGCAATCAAGCGTTTGCGATAACTGGCAATGAGTCTTTTACAGCGCTGTAGAGGAATTTTGGCCCACTCATCTTTGCAGAATTGTTGTAATTCAGCCACATTGGAGGGTTTTCGAGCATGAACCGCCTTTTTAAGGTCATGCCACAGCATCTCAATCGGATTCAGGTCGGGACTTTGACTAGGCCACTCCAAAGTCTTCATTTTGTTTTTCTTAAGCCATTCAGAGGTGGACTTGCTGGTGTGTTTTGGATCATTGTCCTGCTGCAGAACCCAAGTGCGCTTCAGCTTGAGGTCACGAACAGATGGCCGGACATTCTCCTTCAGGATTTTTTGGTAGACAGCAGAATTCATGGTTCCATTTACCACAGCAAGTCTTCCAGGTCCTGAAGCAGCAAAACAGCCCCAGACCATCACACTACCACCACCATATTTTACTGTTGGTATGATGTTCCTTTTCTGAAATGCCGTGCTACTTTTACGCCAGATGTAATGGGACATACACCTTCCAAAAAGTTCAACTTTTGTCTTGTCAGTCCACAGAGTATTTTCCCAAAAGTCTTGGGGATCATCAAGATGTTTTCTGGCAAAACTGAGACGAGCCTTTATGTTCTTTTTGCTCAGCAGTGGTTTTCGTCTTGGAACTGCCATGCAGGCCATTTTTGCCCAGTCTCTTTCTTATGGTGGAGTCATGAACACTGACCTTAATTGAGGCAAGTGAGGCCTGCAGTTCTTTGGATGTTGTTCTGGGGTCTTTTGTGACCTCTTGGATGAGTCGTCGCTGCGCTCTTGGGGTAATTTTGGTCGGCCGGCCACTCCTGGGAAGGTTCACCACTGTTCCATGTTTTCGCCATTTGTGGATAATGGCTCTCACTGTGGTTCGCTGGAGTCCCAAAGCTTTAGAAATGGCTTTGTAACCTTTTCCAGACTGATAGATCTCAATTACTTTGTTTGTCATTTGTTCCTGAATTTCTTTGGATCGCAGCATGATGTCTAGCTTTTGAGGATCTTTTGGTCTACCTCACTTTGTCAGGCAGGTCCTATTTAACTGATTTCTTGATTGACAACAGGTGTGGCAGTAATCAGGCCTGGGTGTGGCTAGAGAAATTGAACTCAGCTTTCCAAAGATGTGATAAACCACAGTTAATTTATGTTTTAACAGGGGGTGGCAATCACTTTTTCACTCAGGGCCATGTAGGTTTGGATTTTTGTTTCCCCCTTAATAATAAAAACCATTTAAAAACTGCATTTTGTGTTTACTTGTGTTATCTTTGTCTAATATTTAAATTTGTTTGATGATCTGAAACATTTAAGTGTGACAAACATGCAAAGAAATAAGAAATCAGGAAGGGGGCAAACACTTTTTCACACAACTGTATAATACAACATGACAGAAACAGAAAATGTAAAGCATGCCTTATTTGGAAGTCAACAACTGACAAAAAAAATAGACATACAGGAAACAAACTGAGCATGACAATAAGAGACAGGCAGGTGGCACAAGTAACAGCCACACAGCAGCGAAGAGACAGAACTGTAGCAACAAGGCATGCACACGGTGAGAAAAAGAAAGCCACACAGAGCTGTGGGCTCACCTGCCCTGTGTGGCCTGAAGCTGCTCTGTGAGTTTAGCCAGGCTAGAGCTGGAGGAGGGAACAGAGAGAGAGGGAGGAGGAGGAAGACGTCGCAAATTTATTAGGAGGAAGAAGTGCAGAAATAAAAAGAGCATGCTAGTGTCCTTCTGCCATTCACTCTTGTCTGCAGGTATACAGTATAGTTATGGTTAATTAAACAGCACTCAGTCCAAAAGCTGTTAATGACCACTAGTTAAACACAAAGTCCATTTAGTGCCATTAGTTTCAAACAATGCACTGAGGTATTTTGTAGCCGGAGGAAACTGCGTCATACCAGTCAGAGGAGTGCTGTGCCTCAGAGCGATGCTGAACAACCTCCTCGGTAGCGCTGCTGGCCTGTAAAAACATTCATACAGTCTATGAGTCTATGAGATCAGCGATAAGGCAGCAGATCGTTGTGTCCATTGCATCTCTATTGTACATGGAGACATCTTGGTTTATCTGATTGTGCCTCATTCCAGTCCTGAACTCTTTTAAGCCTGATTCAACCATATAAAGTACTTTGTTGCTTTGTTTTGAAAAGCGCTGTATAAAAAAACAACAATTATTCGTATCATAATTGAACATACAAAAGGCCTTGTGCATGAACCACTTGTTTTTAAGTCGCACTTGCAAGTGTGATTTCAGAGACCTTGTCATATTCACCAGTTCAGAACTTTCTCTTCGGCTCTGGCCTGTCCTACGAGTATGCCGACAGTGTGCCATCCACCAGAGTGAGAGAGACCTATCGTCGCATATAGCCATTGTTTTAGTTCAATACTCAATCTGAATTAATTCAGACTTTAAATGTGTAACCTAAATCAACTTGTGTGAGTTTGACAGCCCAGACGCTGTTATAGCCATCTATGCTCTCTTCAAACTCATCAGACTCCACTGACAAAAACATTTGACCTGGCAGGACACAGGAGCTGCTGACTACGCTGCC